GGTTGATGGGTTTTGGAGTGCCGTAGCTTTCCCTTCCCTTAAGTTCAAGCCGCAATGCAGGCCCATTTTAAGCCTCTCGATGGCAAAATGAAAATGTTCCTCAATCAGCAATCCATGTTAGTCATCAATAACTTGCCTCCGCCGCATCAGAGCTCCTTCACACCCTTGCGACTTCGGACACAACCCCGTCCTTCCCCCGATCCTGCTTATCCTGGTATGGTTTTGATAATTATGACCTAAGGCTTTGAGAAAGAACGCTTACATGAAAACAATTGAAATCTACGATGCTTTCTCCTAGCATTCTAAGGAAATTTGAGAATACATTTTTATGAACTGAGCATTCCAGTTATTCTTTTGGCCACATTTTACTAGTATCGTAACATTAGTCAGCGGTTGAACGCCCCCCCCCCCCCAGATCCGACACTGAGTACAGCCGGCGCACCGCAATCCCTGCCGTTGATCAGCCGGTAGCAGGCCGGGGTCTAAAAAGCACTACGCATCATCGCTACCTCCCCGGCTGTCCCGGAAGCAATACTAACGGTCCCAGAGCAGGAATTGCACAATCGTACAACCTCGCTGACAGAGTGTCACAAGGACACCGAGTCAATAATTGACATTGCGAATTATTGGGCACAACGGTAGTTGAATACCTTAATGTATGGGACGACAGACACACGGCGGAACAGACAGTGCAAAGAGAAGAATAAATGCCTGCATCGAAAGGACAACGCCAAAAATACACCTGCTTCGGAGGGATTGATAACTTGCGGTCTAGATTTGGTCGGTGGAACCAAAGCAAACGTGGTGACCAACGCTAACTTTCAATTTTGCCCCCACCTGTCCCCCTTTTTAAAATGGAAAGCTGTAAACACAGGCTTACATTCACCCAGTGGTTTTCACCAGCGCCAAGGCAAGCAATGTCCGAGTTGATGTTTGTTTATAGATCTTGGGGGACCAGGTTCGAATCCAGGATTTACCTTTTGGCATGTCCCATGCATGCATGGTCCCGGTCTTTTCCTATGATCATAGGAAAAGACCGGGACCATGCATGCATGGGAAATTCCAAAAGGTAAATCACTCATATATGAGTGATTTAATATACCGTTATAAGCTCTGCTGCTTGGACTGTCTGCGAAGTCCAGGAATGTATCTTCGTATAAAGGTTCAATGCACGTTCAATGCATTGACTGGCCCACACTGGAAGCAGTGCAGTGGGTGGGCCGGGAAGCGAAATTTCTTTTCCAAAACGAGATCGGACAATATCAAAAGAGGGCGCTCTCTCTGCGTAATGCATATTCATGATGTCCCGGGAAATTAGAGAATCTGTTATATAACAAGGAATAATAGTGTTTAAATTAACGACGTTTGGCAGCTCGTTCGTGGATGGACTGGTTGGAAGAAGTCCTGACTTCTAAATCAGGTAATCCAAGTTTGAATCTCAGTGAGCGTTTTTCACTTCTTCTCATTTTATATTTTAAATAAGTAAAGTGTTGAAGGAACATTTCTCACAAGACGTAAAGCCTATCTTGGGTTTGTGTTATGGAGAACAAGGCATTAGATATGCATGTAATGGATTAATCAGAAGATGGGAAGCGGATGTCGTTTTGGGAAAAAAAGATTCGCGGCCGGGAACCCCGAGATCCCAGAAGAGTCCTAAATGGGAGTCGGTATTAAACGATTCAAGTTTCTTTCCTGAGTCCAATTCCTGATGTGGTTCACACCACATGTCGGTTCTTGTATACATTTCTTTGTGCTAGATGCAATGGAATGAGCCTTGTCACATATGGAACAACTGTCATTTTACAACGTCAAAATCCTTGCAATGAAGACATATATCATGCGTACTTTTAGCGGCCAACGTCGCGCGTGGTTGGTTATGACATCACCGTGTTCACTTCATGCACACCGATCTCGCGTTGTTGCATTCATAGAGAATAACCTCAGTCAAGTTTCGAATGTTCATGTTGGGCACATTTTGTTCTAGAGAAACGCACATTTTCATTATGCAATTGGCCCCAAATGCTTCCTTTTTTGACAAAAGAAACATATTGGATCGTGTCATAGCGAAAGAAGTTTTCAAGTTATGTTTTGGTATAGCTGCACTGAGTTTATTATACATGTAGTGCAATGTAATTCCAAGTAATCGTCTTATAAAGTCTGCTAACCATATACCGCTGCATCTCGTTTACGTTGTGTGATTGTTCGTTTCTTGTTAAAATATTACGGTTGATGAAGTTCAATATTAAATATGAATAAAGGTGTTGAACCTGTTGCATTTAAACAAATAAATCACGGCCTTTTGGTAGGATTGATAGCTGTACACGAACACGAAACAGCCAGTGACACAACTTATATAGCATTTTATGAGACCGTCTATGCTTTACCGTCGAAAACAAAGTACTGGACTGTACACAGCCCCCCCCCCCCAAAAAAAAAAAATCACACGGAACGGCGTACTTCCGCTACCCTGAGACTCAAACAACCTATACCAATGCATGTGGGATTCTGTTAACAGAAAATGAGTATAGTTTTTGTTCAAGGGCCTATTTTTTTTTATGAAACTAAGTCGGGTTTCATTTTGTCCCGATGAATGACTAAACCATCGGATAGAGAGGTGTTAATGTATTAATACCCACATGATCAGTTGTATGCTTCACAAAATAGGCTTTGCAGCAAGTACTACTGGACCGAATCGGGAGATCTTGGTATCATATTTCTTCTAAAAAGATTCCCAATCCATTGGTACAGGTGGTTTGAGTCTTGTCATTTTTAGGCCATTTATGGTAATTTACACACGTCAAATCACAATGAAATTCATTCATAAAAACCAAATTTTATTGAGGATTACGATTAGCTTTTTGTTTCATTTAGATATATATATGACATAGCGTAATTAAGGGTGCGATTGGGGGCAGTCCCCCCCCCCCCCCCGGTTGAGGTTAGTTTTCCCCCCCCCTATTGCCGCCTCCATTCAGAATTTTAGAGAATGCAAAAATGAACCTTTCATTGTTTAAAAACCTTTCAGCGCCCTCTCAAAAATGTCATCTTCACCCCCCCCCCCCCCCGCAAATTATTTACGCCACTGTGGATAAACAGAAAGGGCAAATCCTCACTGTCATCCTCGCTGGCTAGAGGTACGCTTACCAGACCATGGTTGGTCTTTGTCGTTTCTATAATTGAATTAATTACTAATGTTCGCCGTGCACGTGTTCCCTTGTGGAGGTCGGTTATCTAGGTTAAAGTGTTTTTGGTAGATTCAATATAGGCCAACCGCACATGTATATTTTAAAATGGCACTCCCCCCGCGCTTCTATACAGAATCGCACATAAACTGGATTGGCTGCATGCTTCAATGGGTTTCCAAAGCAGCGGCTAGATTATTTTTCATTTCTTTTTTTATCTCACAATAACCAAATTACCGTTCATTGAGATATTTGAAAGCGATAGTTATAATAAACAAGACAGGCCTGCACAGAGGATTTTATTTTTAAAACCCGGCTATCAACATGACGCGACTTCACATTTGGTTTAATATATATAAAAGAAGACTCTTTTAATAAGCAGAAAATGTTCGTTTTTCCTTCAAAGGAATAGGCATCTAAAATCCTTTTTTTCAGTGAGTATGGAAATAATAACAAAAACAACAGCTCACCACTCTAGATTAGTTAACAATCTGAATCATTTTGTTGTTAGCGCTAAAAGTTCTGAACCATTTGATCAACCCCTACCCGAGTTCCTTCATAATATTCTCATGTTCTAGTACGTCACTTTTGTTCACACACAAAAGTGTATTTTGGGGGGTTTTGGGGGGTAATTTTGTGCAATAAAACATTTATAGCAATTTTGTGACGGATGACGCGTCCTTTGGAATACAGGGGCTACGATAAAGCATTTTCCTCACCAGAATCATTCTGAAAAAAAAACAAACAAACAAACAAACAAACAATGATAACAAACTTACCCAAACCGATTCTTCCAAGCCTCACAGCATGTTAGGATAGATCCAGATATCAAACGAGAGATAGCTCTTAATTTTTAATAAAATCAGCTCATTATTAAGTCAGCAAATATCAGCGTTTTCGAAAGGCATTTTCGCAGACTCGGAATGGGGGAGGGGGGCTACAAGAGGGTTTAATCGGTGAACACCAGAAAGAAAATTGAGCCTTCGCATCTCTCAGCCCCTCCCGGATCTGCGAATACAGGATGAGTAAAAAAAAAAGGAAACCCAAATGGTGCCTCCCTAATTTTTAAAGAATTTCCGCATGTAGCGCTTTCCAGATCTAGAATATGAAAGCCCAATTAATAAGCTTTCGTTTGGTGAAAGAATCCTTCACATCGCTCGTGTACTTTTCCAGTTATAGAATTTTGAAAACAAACACCGTTTTTTTTATTCTTGTCCACGGATCATATTTAGGGTGCGTGATATTTCAGGGGAAAAAATGAAACCATGTCACATCCTGAAAATGATATCAGAATAATCCCATAAGTCTCCGGGGTAGCCAAGTAGAAGGCAGGGCAAAGCTATAAACTCTTGACATGTTATTTTAACATTGGAAGTAGCAGGTTTTTAAATAAATGTTATGATAAGTGCCAGTTGTCATGGTCATGAGAGTGTTCTGATGTGTTTTTTGGTATGTGTATAGTTCGTCTTGCTGAAATATCACTAACCTCCATGGTGACCCGTGGACAAGCTTAAAAAACGGTGTTTGTGTTCAAAATTCCATAAATGGAAAAGTACATGAGCGATTTGAATGATTATTTCACTAAATTAAAGCTTATTAATTGGGCATTCATATTCTAGATATGGAAAGCGCTACATGCAGAACTATTTTTTTTTAATAATAAAAATAGCGGGCACCAAATGGGTTTCCTTTTTTTACTCATATTTTACTCGCCCTGTATACTCCGATAAGAACGAGAGCCACAAGACACACACATTTCATGTTCAGTGGAAAATACTACAAAATGTGAAATAATGGGGAAAATGAGAGATTCGAAACGACTTTATGCTGACAAAGTTTAATTTTACTGAAGTGAATTTACATACGAAAAAAATGATTCTATATAGACACGACCTAATGGAAACTATACCAATAATTACATAACATGGTAATATAAAGTGATTTCAAATATTTACATGATAGTGTCCCGTCCTTAACGTTAATGTCCAACACACGGTGAGACTGCAAGTCTGCCTAAGATAGAGCTCAATCAAAATGTGAGGAAAATTTCCAAGATATTTTTTTTATCTTCCTTGGCAGTATATTTTACAAAACGGGACAGATACAGCGTGATCCTAAAATGCAGGATCAAACAAACTTTCTTTTTTTTCATTCAGAGTTCACTTGTGAATCAATGCAACGTCCATAAGATATTAGAAATGACACAACACACAGTTTTTGACCGCACAACTGATCAAAATAATTTACAAGAATGTATAGGAAACTAGTCGGTTATTTCAGCCTTATATTCTTGAGAATTACACCCACGACATCCGACGTTGAGAACGAATACAATTATAGTGAACGAATACCTTTGTTATAGTACGTTATTAGCGTACCTAATCAATAACCAATTGGTAAATTATTACTTTGATGTTAGGGAATTCAATTTCAACCCGAGTCCTTCATGGTTTAGAACGTAATCGTTTCGGACCCATTGATCTGATCAAGGAGATTTGCCAACAAAGTGTGGATGCGTGTTGTTACTAAAATAATTATTAACAAATTTAGCGAAAAGTGACTGAAACCATCTGATCATTAGACACGCGAAGGATTCGTTTAGTCTTAATCAATCTGCAGGGATATACATTTGGTACTTTGACCAACTCAAGTGACAATTCGAAACACACAAGTTATTGCATTATGCTTGAGCGGAAACAAAGAAACAAAGACCTTTATTCGTTGTTTTGTTTTGTTTTGTTTCTTCCTTTTAAGCCGTTATGGGTTTTGCAGGTTCACTAACAGAAACGAGTTTTAACATTTTTTTATTCCTGCGCTATATTTGGGTTTCGGGCAAAATAAGTACATGATAGATTGAAATAGTAGGCCTACAATTTCCAATATCACAACATTATGAAAGTCCGTTTGACCATATCATTGGAAATGGGGAAAGATGCCTCACCCTTTCCCAAATTATAACTGAGATTAAGGACAAACGATACTGTGTTTTTGATAACTACCATTCATGATACACTCATTGAGCAGTTTATCATTCGATTCGCAAAACCAACAAACTCAATGCTGAACTTTCCCGCAACAAGTATAAAGAGATAACTAATAAATCGTTTACACTATTAAAAATAAACTCTGATCACTCATCTAGAGTATAATAGAGAAACATTATAATAGCCATGTTAAGCAGCTAAAACCAGCAATTCGTGGGAACAGTAATCTTTATTGTTTGGTCTGCGAAGGGATGACAGAAATATTGAAATATTTTCAGAAAAATGGATGCCGGTGATTATTGGCTATTGAGCAAGCTTGGGAAGTATCCGATGTGGAGAAAAAAACATACACACAATCACGTCAGCAAACAAAGCAACAACAGAAAATCACATACCAGTGAAACAAGTTACAGGCCATAGTCTTCATCTTATTTCCCGTTCTATCAAACACATTGTAATATTTGAGAATATTTCTCAAACTATACCCTTTTTTCAGGTCGATAGTGAGCGGACAATTTGTTATAGTTGAATGTCGTTTCACTATTTTTGTCATCTTTGGCGAATGGTATTGCACAAAACAACAAAATGCATCAAAAATAAAATAGAAAATAGGGGGTACACTGCGTGTGGACATGCGCACTCGTTGGTGAGGACCAAGTAAGGTCCAGAGGTATAGCAGGTTCGTACAGCGACTAATAAATAAACGACCAAAAAAAAAGAGCATAGGCCTAAAGGCATCATATTCACAGCGCTTTAAAACAAATTGTATAGAGCCTGTTTTCTAGCCTGTCTTTTGCAAGGAAGATACAAGACAGGAACGACAATGACATGTTATAAACAAACAACACACTTAGCTCACTGTTTCTTTCAAGCCTCAGGCATTTTTGTTTGGTCCAATCCCACACAGGATTGTAAGTCATTAGATCAGTGCCCGTATCGGACATGTAAATAAAAGTACGAGGTCCCATCTACAACAGCGGTCCGGAGGCAAGTCTTGGAGGGAGAGCACACGGCGTGTCAAATGTCTCTCTCCCGCCGGAGTCCTCATCAGGACCGTAAACAATCTTCCGTGAGATTTCGGTTTAAACGAGTCAGCGCATGGACTGGTGGTCGGCCGCAGCGGCGGCGGCAGCGGCGGCCGCTGCCTCTTGGCTCATCAACTGCGAGATACTCTTGACATTGTGCTCCTTTTTCCACTTCATGCGGCGGTTCTGGAACCAGATCTTGATCTGTCGCTCCGTCAGCCCCAGCGCGTGGGCGATCTCGATGCGCCGTCTCCGCGTCAGGTACCGGTTGAAATGGAATTCTTTCTCCAGTTCCAGGGTCTGGTAACGCGTATACGCCGTCCGTGAGCGTTTGCTGGGCTCTAGGCCGTTCGTTTGGCTCACTGAAAAACAGGAAATGCAAGAGCGAAATCAAAATGATTTTTCAAATTAACGACCTGAAATAATCCACGAACCAAACAATGAATGTTATCAGAGGTATATCATGACTCCCTGACGGTATCATTTGTTTTCTTCACTCAAATCAACATCGTTGATCACTGAGCATGCGCATTGTCCCGTTTCCTCATTTAAGGCCGGAAATGAATAATCATACAAAATGTACATTTGAAATTACCGTTTTCCAAAGAAACAAACAAGTGAAGAAAAAAAATAGAACAACATCTTCATTACCATTGATAATGACCACATTCTTTTAACCTATACTGAAACACATGCAACATTGATTAAGCTCTAACATGGGTTAACATTTTCATCTTCTTTTACAATGACAGGTCAAAGTAATGATACAATATACATGTTTTTTTTATGACTGATCTGAACTCTGTGATTATATGCGATGATAATGCGGCTGTCAGGTTCAAAATTAGGCGGGCTAAGAACAACAATCAGGAGAAATGACTGTGATAAAACCTGTCCCGTAGTGTTTCCATGCTAGGATGGCATCCAACAGATCACTGGGTCATTTGCAGTAGAATTGTTAATTATCGCAAATGGTAGGTAACACACAGAAGCACGAAGCACAAAGCTCTTTTTGTTAGCGGAAGAAGATGCATTCCAGCCATCCCTAATATTACTGAAATGGACGACGATATGGCTTCCACAAAAAATAACGTGACTGACATAGAGCAGGGCAATGCACTAATGTTGTTACATCAATAGGCGTATCCACATGGCACATGCATCGCATACAAATTATAGATGATAAATCAGTGTGTATTATAGTGCTGTCGTGTGACCAAGTAACACCACATCAGCACTAGAAGCCATATTTGATATTTCCTGCACATGTCTATATATCAATGGAAGAGGATTAGACTCAACACAAAGGCCAATCATCAGTGCTCTAGTCAGACTTTACGTTGCCTTCAGTGAATAAACTATTCATACAAATCATAGTATCACGTTTGTATCTTGTGAGCATTATAAAGAATGAAACCGGGAAAAGTACTTTTCCCGAGTTCAAACAATCGACTCCGGAAAATGTCATGTTCTGTTGTGATAATTCTTACCACTCAGAAACCGAACGTCGGATGTTATCAACTTCTAATAAACTCCATTACAAAACGTGGTTTTATTGATGTGAAGAATGATCAAGTCAACCACCAGTGAAGTTGAACCATTCAAAATAATGCGCCTCTAGATAACAGTATACCATTATGATAGCCTTGTGACATTAATGGCCTCTTTCGCAAGATGGGCATATTGGGGGAGTCATTCCAAAGCTCTAAACGACATCATGTCCCGGGGGAACTCAAATTGAACTTAAAGGCACATAGGAATATTGGTAAAAACGCGGAAACGAACAAGCCGATAAAAGGAGAAAAAGCTTTCTCAAAGTGAAGATAGAGATGGTACCAAAAACCCTGCGAAATCATTCCGTCTGAAATGGTAACATTCGGAAGAACACAATATTTTAAGGTGTTTTTTTTAAGTGCCCGCGGAATCCAGTTACGAAACCCGAAAAAAAGTGTGAAAATGGTTTCAAATTTTCTCAAAATGTGTATTTGCCACTGAGCTATAACTTCCAGGTTAGTTGTTATGCACCCCGCTCCTTAAGATTTTGAACAGTTTCGTTTCTTCAAATGTAAAAAAAAAGCACAAGAACCAAATGATCCTATACGTACCTTTAAATTCAAGTTGTATTCCAAATCCTATTGAGCTATATTGACGGATTAATCCCCCTTTAAAACGGCATTTCTCGATAATTGGAACAGTAAATCTTACAAGGTACCTGTATTCCTGGACAACACAAAACTGACGAAAATTTGTTACGTAGTGGAGCGCTCATTCCACGCATGATCTACTTTGATGTATGAAGTAATAATGGCTGTGGTTTCACACCCTTTCGAGTTTTCAACATTTTTAATGGTGAAAAATTAGCTTAAGATAGTGTTATTTGCCGGAGGAGACCGTGTTTTGTGTATTTTTTTTTGGGGGGGGGGGAAGGAGACGATCCTCAACAATTACAAACGCATAATTTAGAAGTCATATTCAACTTCTTAGCCCACGCGTCCCCGCTACAGGCTAACAGTTAACTGTTTCAAGACCGGTCTCCAATCGTACAGTAAAAGCGATTCGCATATAGTTGAGTTTTGAATCATTACTTCGAGGATTTACTTATTTGTCATATATTGGGATCAAATCCCCGACTTAAGACCCTAAAAGATCCAGTGGGGTTCCGGTGAGGGTTGCCAACAGCAAGCAACGGCTCGTAAATGCCAGGACAAGACGGAGTGTACGCGTGGAGAAGGACGCCATACTCGCGAAAATAGGAAATCGGTGTTCCGCTCACTTGAAGACCGCAGGCTCCCTCACGCAATGCAAGACCCCCGTGTAACAGCAGGCACATGCTGGGCCAAATTAACCATGACACATGCAAAAGAAAAATCAAGCACTGTATTGCACTCAGGGCCATATCTTTGATATGGGAGGATGAACATTTTAAGAAAGGTGTCAAACAGTTTCTTTGAGACCAACAACAATTCTTTCAACCTTTTCATCCAAGGAGAGTGATCTGCAAACGGAAATGAGTCTTTATTTTATTTTTTAAAGGTGACAGAAAAATGTCAATTTTTGGTTAATAAACTAGAATTTCTTACACGATAAAGCCAAGGAATCAACCGATTTTAATATATATTAAAGCCTGAAAAATGAAATACAAGGGAAAAATTAGTTTATATTTCTGATTCCACGGATTAGGCATGTTAGGAAAATTTTGAATCGGAATGCGGTTTTTACGATTTTGCGCGAGCTTATGATTTATGCAACTTGATTTTGCAGATCGAGAATTCATGCGAGAACAGTTGATCTAAATTATTGGTTTGAAAATTTGAGATATTCGCGGCAAACAATTTTTCTGCGCACTAGGGAGGAGTCATCGGGAAGAATCTAAAAAAAAAAAAAAAAAATCAAAAATTTATTTGGACACCATCCAAAACTAATTAGCGCTGTTTATAATTTACGCTTTTAATAGTAAGAAGGCTGAAATTTAATCCCTGTTCTGGGCTGAATGATAAGATTATAATTTGAAGACATTATTCACTTTCTACACTGCTTCAGCACTGATCGTACTCATGCATTTGAAGAGTTGATTAACTCGATTAAGCTTGTGAATTTAAGGGGGAGAAAGCTTTCTTCTATTTCCACTTTTAATTGAACGTGCTATACAAAAGATACTTTAATCATGTTCAATGATCCTTTTTTTTTATTTAGTTAAGAGAACGTGCAATGTTTTTTATTTGAATTTATTTAAGGAATTTTTGTATAATTCTTGTCTGCCACTTTACACTGACACGTACCGATGTGTTTATTATCAACCATACTCACGTAGTTCATTTTGCCCCCATCAATAGGTTAACGGCAATCAACGTTTTACGCGTGAATCGTAAATTTATCGAGATGAGAGCACGCGGAGCAATGCATGGCTTGCAACGGGGAATTAACCGATACACGTACGAGAAGCGGCTTCTTTTACTTTACGGGAAAACATCATATTCATAATTTAAGGCAGGTTCTGAGACGCTTTAAAAAAGGTGCTTTTATCAAGACTGTTAACGTCTCCCTTTTTAGAGAGAAAAAAATCAATTGGTAAAATCGTTAACAATTCATTAGATTTGAATTCAGATAATGAATTCAGATACTGAATGTGATGTAATGTTTTTATTTGTCTGATGGGGCAATGGCATGTCGATTTCATACTAACATGGAGAACTTCTAAACATTAAAAATTCATTTCGCCAGTGACAGTTTCCGCAAGGCTTCAGGGCAAAGACCCCGAAACTTTGCATATTTTCATCACTTCACAGCGCATACACTGCATGTGATGAAACCAACATTTGCATCGGGCCAAGGTGTACCCAGGACTGAGGGGGAAAAAACCTGATGTGAACATTAAGAAAAAAAGGAGATTATGGAGTAAGGAAAATAAAAAAAAAGTACGATGCAATCAACGTTTGCTTGACAGCAGTGACGAACGAGTTTATTTATTGATGAACACACATGTAATTGGAGTCACAATGTCTCGCTTGCGGCCCGGGAACGTTCGACTTTAATCATGAGCCAACGGCCGCCAGGAACAACACACCGCGGCGCCCGCACACAGCCCCGTCCAAATTGCGAGAGGTGTAAGCCAAATAAACAGTTTTCTTTGCCGAAATTTGACGAAATTATCCCAAATGTGTGGTTGCACTTGTACGGTGGAGCGCCAGATATTGGAAACAAAGAATCAACACTCACTGCCGATGCGGTGGAAACCAAAGGCCGGAAGAAAATTGAACAAACAAAAATATATATATATCAAAAGTTGTAGACTCGCATTCATTAGGCTTAATACCAGATTGGAAAAAAGCGACAGTCACTGAATGATGACAACATGCATTGTCTGGCTCGTAATCACGACTGTGCATGAGTTTCAACAGTAACCAAGCCGGAACAGCATAATTCTCAGGGCACAATGGCGTCACTTTAGCTATCCGGTGTAAAGCATCGTCTGCATCCACCAGAGACACGTGTGCTTTTTACGCCATCGGTTTCTGTCACACGGAGGTTGCAATCAACACTTTACTCAACGTCGAATGGGTTGAAGACACGCAGGCTCTAGGGATTGAACTAACTTATACTTCAAGTGGTTTCGCACAGGTGATCTTGCAGATGATTAAAATTATTTTTCCATGGAAGTTTTAAAGACACTTACGATGATAGGATCAATCTTTTTGTTAAGCGGTTTGAGTACAACTGTACCACCGAGTGATTTTTTCTCCTTTTTTCTTGAGGGTATTAAACACATGTGCACACTGATACAGTGTTTATACGTCGATGAAGAGCAAAACCATATTACTATATTATTATTATTAAAACCATGGTGCCCGAGGGCACGCTATTT